TTTCAAGATCTATGCGATAAACTCAATTCCCTTATCTGATTTGAATATCTTTTTTTCCTTATAATTTTACGTTATCATAGTCACAAACTGACAAAATAAAACTATAAATCTTGTTTCAGTTTGTGGTATTTTATCGTGTAGGTATTGAAAAATTAACTGGATTAACAAAAATTCCCCTCGATCGGACATCCGAGCCATGATGTATGTCCGTTTGAAGTTCAAAAAGTTATAACTACTCCTTTTACGTTACATTTAGTGAAACTTTAAATGACTGTTACTTTTGCCTAGAATATCTTTTAAATGTGATTCTTTTTTTAAAGGTTCTTAATTTTTTGAGATCTACGTGGTAAACTTAGTTCATAATTCAATTTGACTTTGTTTTCTTCCCTATACTTTTACCTTATATATAGTCACAAACGATAAAAGTAAAACTATAAATTCTATTAAAGTCTGTGGCGTTTTATCGCATAGAATCGAAAAAATAACCAAACTGAAAAAAATTGTCCTGGTCGTATATCGGAGACATTATATATGTCCATTTGAAGTTCAATAATTTACAAATACTCCTTTTACGTTACATTTGTTCAAATTTGAAATGACCGTAACTTTTGCCTCGAATATCTTTTAGAGGCGATTCTTTTTTTTAAAATTGCTTATTTTTTTAGATCTACGTGGTAAACTCAATTTCTTTATCCGAATTGAATTTCTTTGTTTCCTTATAATTTAACCTTATATATAGTCATAAATCGATAAAAGTAAAACTATCAATCCTATCTCAGTGTGTGGCGTTTTATCGCGCATGTATCGAAAAAAAACCTAATCATAAAATAAATTGCCTCGATCGGACATCCTAGACATGTTTTATATTCGTTTGAAGCTCAAAAATTTACAACTACTCCTTTTACGTTTCATTTGGTAAAACTTCAAATGACTGTAATTTTTGCCTCGATTATCTTTTAGAGGCGATTCTATTTTTAAAGTTGTTTATTTTTTTAACATCTACTCCCATAATATTTCCTTTCTTTTCCTCCTCTCTTTCCCGTTTAAGGCAAGGAGGTTGTGGGATCAATCCCCCACAAGCTCATTCTTTTTCTCTTAATTTATCTCTTAACTTTCTCACCTATGGAAGAGGTTGTGGGTTCATTCCCCACTCACCACATTTATTTTTCTCCTTTATTTTTATCTTAACTCTCTCATCTATTCAAGAGGTTGTGGGTTCAATCCCCACTCACCTTGTTTTATTTTTCTCCTTTATTTTTCTCCTAACTCTCTCATCTACTCAAGAGGTTGTGGGTTCAATCCCTACTCACCACATTTATTTTTCTCCTTTATTTTTTTCCTAACACTCTCATCTATTCAAGAGGTTGTGCTTTAAAACTCCACTCACCACATTTTATTTTTCTCCTTTATTTTTTTCCTAACTCTCTCATCTATTCAAGAGGTTGTGGATTCAATCCCCACTCTCTAGATTCATTTTTCCTTTCATTTTTTTCATGAAATTTTTATGTAGTTTACATTTGGTGAGGTCTTGGGTGCAATTCCCAACGACCTCACAATTTAAAAAAAAACATAGCTATTTTTTTTCAATTCTTGGCCGAGACCATCAATTTCCAGCAAGCTGGAAATTTGGTCTTTTTCAATCCATTTTGTCTCATTCTTATGCTGATTTTTGTAGTATTTTGAGTGACATTCAGTCAGACACCTTAACCTTATATGAACATCATATTTTTAACATTTTCATACACGCGAAACACACCATTTTAACATACAATTACTCCTTTTACATTGCATTTGGTGAAACTTCAAATGACTGTAACTTTTGCCTCGAATATCTTTGAGAGATGATTTGATTTTTAAAGTTGATTATTTTTCAAGTTCCATGTGGTATCCAATTTGACTTTCCTTTTTTTCCTTATAATTTTACCTTATATATAGATACAACCCGATAAAACTAAAATTAGAAATCTTATCTCAGTGATTTGTATTTTTTTCTCATTGATATAGAAAAATTTACATGATTGAAAAAATATCGCCTTGATTAGACATCCGATCATGCATGATTTATGTCCGTTTGAAGATAAAAAATTTACAACTACTCCTTTTACGTTATATTTGGTGAAAGTTAAAATGATCGTAGCTTTTGTCTCGAATATCTTTTAGAGGCAAATCTTTTTTTAAAGTTGCTTATTTTTTTTTTAAATCTACGTTGTAAACTCAATTTCTTTATCCGATTTGACTTTCTTTTTTCTTATAATTTTACCATATATATAGTCACAAAATGATAAAAGTAAAACTATAAATCATATCTTAGTGTGTGGTGTTTTTTCGCGTAGATATCCAAAAAATAATCGAATTCAAAAAATTTGCTGCGATCAGACATCCGAGGCATGATTTATGTTCGATTGAAGTTCAAAAATTTACAATTACTCCTTTTACGTTACATTTGGTGAAACTTCAACTGACCGTAACTTTTGCCTCGAATATTTTTTAGAGGCGATTTTTTTTTAAAGTTTCTTATTTTTTCGAAATCTACGTGGTAAACTCAATTTTTTATCTGACTTGACTTTCTTTTTTTCCATATAATTTTACCTTATATATAGTCACAAACCGATAAAAGTAAAACTATAAATCATATCTCAGTGTTTGGTGTTTTTTCGCATAGATATCAAAAAAATAATCACATTAAACAAAAAATTGCCTCTATCGGTCATTTGAAGTTTCACCAAATGTAACGTAAAATGAGGACCTCGAGGTTGGCGCCTCGGGGTTGTGGAGGGGGGTTAGGGCCTCGAAACAGGCCCTCAGGAGGGGGTCTTAGGGCCTCGAGGGAGGGTTAGGGCCTCTAGGCAGTCACATTGGGGAGGGGGGCTGGGATGTTAGGGCCTCGAAGCAAGTGTCTCGGGGCGGGTGGCTGGGGGTTTAGGGCCTCGAGGCTGGGGGGAGGGAGGGCCTCAAGGGGGGGGGGGTTAGGGACTCGAGGCAGAAACCTCGAGGCGATGGGCTGGGGGGTTCAGGGCCTCGAGGCAGGCGCCTCGGTGCTGGGGGAGGGGGTGGGGCCTCGAGGCAAGCGTCTCGGGGCTGGGTAAGAGGGCAGGGCCTCGAGGCAAGCGCCTAGGGGCTGAGGGGGTTAGGGCCTCGAGACAAGCGCCTCGGGGCAGAGGGATGGGGGGGGGGGTTAGGGCCTCGAGGCAGACGCCTCGGGGCAGAGAGCCGGGGAGGGTTAGGGCCTCGAGGCTAGGGGATTAGGGCCTCGAGGTAGGTGTGTCTCTTAGATTTCGGTCATAGTCTAAGGATACTTGTGTATTCTTCCTTGTTTTTTTAAATAATCATGTGGTGTCTTAAACCTAATAATCCGATTAATTTCACTATACACTTTATGTAAGACTTATTTAAGGATGAATATTCTCTATCAATCATATTTTCAATCTTAAAACTCCTATTTTTAACTTTTGATCAAAAAGATGGGAGATCAAAGATGTAATTATTCATTTCACTGTCGCTTACGGGTCAATTGGTTGTTTATTAGAGTTATGTCATATGAATAATTATTTACATATTCCCTTTTATATCTTTGTTATAGAGATAGTGTTTATCTATAAATTTCATGTTTTCTATATTCATGATATTAATGATTATCATAAAGTATTGTGTATTTGAGTAAGTATATAATGTTATAGAGAGGTAATGGTCTTTTAAAAAAAGTATCTGTTATAATGGATGTTAGTGACGTTATATATATAAGTAGAATGTTATTATTGAAAAATTGAAAAATATTACTTGAAAATTTGATTTTAGAGAAAATCAAGTCGTTAGGGAGAAATGCTATTATAATGAGTGACATCTTATACTGAGTTTTGACTGTGTAACTTAATATCTAATGGGTATGCTGAATTTTATACAACTTGCATTTCTATATATTTGTCATAATTTACTTTTTATTTTATTTAAAAAGTGTTTTTTGTTAACATTTTAATTCTAATTTTCACATAATATATTTAAGATCATAAGATTATAAGATATTTCAGTACATTCAACATGTCTTTAGTTAATCTCCACAAAATTTTAAAAAAAATTATTTTCTTAAACATCATTCCAAATCGAAATCAAACAAACAAATTGAGACAAAGAAAATAATAAACATGATATAAGCTAAACTAGTTTTCCTTCCCAAGACAAAATTCAGTCTATGTATATTTAATATACATCATAGTCAACATTATATATTGTATGTATAACTAATTAAACATAACAATTCATGTATTAATAATATTTTTCTATATATTTAAATAAAACTTTAGCTTTAAATCAATCCAATTTTAAATTATCATTTTGATAATATATATAAGCAATAAAATAAAGGGAAAAGAACCGAAAAAAGTGGTTTTTTTCCATTGGTACATGTAAAGAAAAATATATTGTCCCACATGCAATTCCAAACATGTCAAATAATAAGTACACACCACTCAAAAGAGCAAATAAAGAAAATACAAAATCGATTTGAAACAAAACTAAATAAAGGTTTTCCATTTTTCAAAATGAAAATAAAAAATAAGACCAAATTGTATCGTTTGGTAGCTGGTAAGAGTTTTATAGATATTAATAATATATAAATTAGTTACAAGAGAATTTATATAGTAATTATACAAAATATTAGTTATACACGTGTTGACATGAAATAATGCTTCATCCGTTTAAAAAAAATGAACTAGTTTAATTTGACATAAAGTTTAAAAAAATAAAATTAAAAAAGCCAATCTTGTCGTCTGAAATTAAAATTATGTCAAATATTACTACTCTAAACATGTCACGTCCAATACTAAAAACTAAATTTTGTTACAAAAGAAAATGAATTATTCTTTATTAAAAGAGATGACGCAAACGAAAAATAGATCATTATATCTTTTTTAAATGAAGAAATAATATATAGATTCTTTGGTGACTTATACTTTTATGTGTATATTTTTATAAACTTGTCAACCAAATATCGTATTAATATTTTCTTTTATCTACCTTATCAAACATAGTATTTAAATTACTTCTTTCTTATCAAACTCCTAATAAAGTCACTAGATAAATAAAGGACATGTCAAAAACACCTGAAAAGGTTCATGTAGAATGTAATAAACCATATTCTCTTCTCATCTTCTTGTGAATATGGTTCAAACCATGTTCTCCAATCAAATTCTTCTTTGCGACTTTCTATAATCGCAGTTGATTACTATAGGGTTTAAAGTTTAGGGTTCAGGAACAGAACCTCGATTACCAATTTGACTTTCATTTTCAAATTATAATAAGAGGTCTTTTTGTGATATAATTTTGATCATACTAATTCTCATCATGTCAACTTCCGAACAAGTTGGAGGAGGACGAGGAGGAGGACGAAGACGTCTTAGAGGTGGAGGAAATAATGGTGTTTGGCCAGAGCCATTCTTGGAGGCATTAGCTACACAAATGGCTATTAATACTACTAGTTCCATTAATCGTCTTGCTGCTGCTCAAGCACTCTCAAATCTTTTCCAGGTACACACACCTCTCAAATTACTTTATACGCTCTCATGATATCTAATCATCGTTTTTCTTTCTTATGATATTTTAAAATATATTATTGATATAATAATAAGTTGTATATAACATGACATGAATTACTTGTATGTACAAAATAAACGAATTCAGAATTTAAAATTTATATAAATCGATATGAAATATTGTTAACTCCCACCCTAAGAGTTGTTAATTAAGCTAAGGTACATTATTATTATGAAATTAATAATGGGGTTTTGGGTGATTTGTATTTAATTGGTCAGGCGTAATTATGTATGTTTGTATTAAAGATAATATAATGATTTTTGTAAGATAATGAGCATTTTTATATATAGTTTGGTCAAATGGAACCCGTGATCAATAAATTATATATATAAGTAGGTGTAGGTATATAGATTGTAGTATAGTATATAATTATATAATAATATTAGAGATAAAATGGCATTAAATAATATTACTGAAAAAGTATGATCAGTGCATATAAATGAAATGTTGAAAGTAACTGGTTATGACTGGCATTAGGATGAATTTTAGCAGCAGAAAAAAAGTCTTTTTGAGGAACTCTATTAGCTACTAGCTCTGTACTTGTGCATCAGAAATTACTTTGTCTATTTTAGTTATTTTAGAGTTCGATTAAATTTTAATTTATATCGAGAGGTTTCATATCAAAGTGTTTAAATTCTCTAACAAAGGTGAGTTTGTATTAAAGAAATTTAAATTCTAAATGAGTACTTACCACTCTATCATAACTCAGATCGATTAACAATATATTTTTCTTATTGTTTTATTGACTCCCTAAAACATGATTTTTTTCGTCTCAATTTACGTGATACTATTTGACTAGACACAAATTTTAAGAAAGAAATAAAGACTTTTGAAATTTTTGATCTAATATATTGCTTGATCATTTATTTGATTATAAATCATTTCACTAAAACTAAAATATTATTTTTAAAATATTACTTTTAAAAAATCCGACACTCACGGATCGATACTTTGAAAGATTCTTGACCTAAGGTTTGTCTATTCTTTGGACAGTCGTTTTCTAGGATTTTGTTGCATCTATGCCAAAAAAGTTCTTTTGGTTAAAATTTGAATTCCTTTCCTTTTCATTGCATGATCCTCTTTAAGCTCTACATATTATAAATCCCCACAACTTTTTTGACTCAAACTTTCTAAATATATATATATATATATATATATATATATACATAATACTTTCTCCGTCCTTATTTACTTGTTCATATTTTCTCTTTTAGTTGTCCTTATTTACTTGTTTATTTTGACAAATCAAGAAAGGACAAAAAAAATATTTCTATTATTGCCCTCATTTTAAGTTCTTGAAAATTTTCAAGTTTTAATTCATCATTTTTTAAGCCATAATTCATAAGAGTGAAATTATAATTTCACTATGCTAATTATTATTATCTTAATATGTGTGTCATTTTTAAAGTGGACAACTAAATAAGGACAGGGAAAGTATATTATAATATATATCACTCAATTATTAAATGCACTTCTTTTTTATTATTTGCCCATATATAACACTAGCTTGCACTCCTATATATTACTCTAAATAAAAAGATGTGGAAAGAGACCTTTGAGTCCTTTTTATTGACATCATTACTAAGTACAAATTCAACTTTACTAAGTACAAATTTAACTTTCTATACTTAGTTAAAGATGTGGATCAAAATACGTATATGTAATTATCTTTAACCTTTTTTGATAATATTAATTCATCGTGATAAGATGAAATATTCTACGATAAATTTAAATTATTCATCAAGTTAGTAAATTTAGATATCTCACCTTATTCAATATTAAATTTGAGACTATTTTATTTTATTTTTTAAATAAAATAATCTCGAAATAATTTAATCCGCCTGTCAAGACTAATGATATGTATGGCTTTTCATGAGTATTATCCATTGGGTAATATCATCTATTTTCCGGGTATTATTCTCTATTTGGTAGGTAGCTTATTAAGGGGAAAAAATAAATTATAGCGGTTGCATTTTTTCAGAATTAACCTACCAAATCTAAGTAATATATAGGAAACTTACATAAATATATTATATCAAAAAAATATTTGTCATTTATAATAATGATATTTTTTTATTTGATCACTATTATTATATTTATAATATATATTATAGTACAATTTATAATATACATATATATTTATATACATAATTTATTTTTAAATATATATTACAGATTTAACATAACATTATTGTATATATTTTTATAAATGATAATAAATTTTTTTAAATATGATTAATAGTAGAATTTTATCAAAAAGATCCCCATTCAAATATCTTTATCATTATATACTCTGGATTCATTTTTCTAGTTATGATAGAGTAATTATTTGAGTTTTTATTATTATTATTATTATTTTTTTGAATAATTGGGTATTAATTGTTTATTGGTTGATTTCCAATGAAAACTGTAACTATCAGATCTGTTTGCATATCTAGTATGGTATAGTATGAATTGAAATGAAGAGCTTGTTACAGATTCTTTATTTGTATACTTGTCAGTACAGATAATTAACTATATAATAATAATAATTCTCTATAACACAGTAAATAAAGGTCCATTTTATTTAACAGGAATGAGTTGTTTGGATGATTAAGATTTTGAGTTTTTAGAAAATAAAGTTCCTGAATCATTTTATATTCAGAATTCATACATCTGATTAATTCAAAGTCATAAAATAGATATTTATTATTTAAAAAAAAAATTAAAATAACATATATTTATTTATTTATCATTTGTCACATAACGTCAAGTATAGTATACATACTTAGGAAGTTTGAATTATAATTAAACAAAGTGTCGGATTAATTCACTTGATACTACATATCTATAAGTATTTAACAGGTACATAAATTAATCGAAATATATAAATAAAGAATTATGTTAACTTTATAGATATATCTAAGTGAATTAATTTATTAAAAAAGACAAGAATGTATTGCCCATTCCTTATATCATGTGTAAAAAAAACAAGTCTTTCCAGTTAATGATTCACATTCTTGGCTGACACTCTATTTATTACACTCATTTCATGAATCTAATTTCTGCCCCCTCTTCCTCCAACCTTATCCATATAATAATAATAATAATAATAATAATAAAACGTATAATATCCTTTCATTATTAGAAAATTACTAATTTTTTTATTGAAGTTTCATGGAAAAATAATAGTAGTGTTGCCATACAGAAATATTAGAAAGATTTTCAATATTTTAACAAGAATTTCGATTGAGGTATAAATGAAAAATCATATTTTATAGGAAAAATGTATAAGTACCCTCTCAATCTATGTTCGAAATATTAGAGATATATTTAAATTATATTAAGGTTCTATTACCCTCCTGAACTTATTTTATAAGTAATTTTCTACTCCTTTTCATCCTACGTGATATTAGCTTGAAAAAAAAGTCAAACAACATTGGACCCAGAAGAGAGTGCCACGTAGGTCAAAAAGGGGTAGAAAATTATTAATAAAATAAATTCAGAGAATAATAAAACTTTTATATAGTATAAGTATATCTCTAAAATTTTGAACATCGATTAAAGGATACTTTAGCATTATTCCTATTTTACAACATAAATTTCTTATCACGTCCTTTCTTTTAACAAGAGACATAATCTTCTTTCTCCCTTCTCAAAATAGTACAATTGTTTTTCATTTTGACAATTTTATATTACAGGCTTGATTAGTTTAAATTTGTAAAAGATAAATTGATATAATTAACATAAATATGTTAACGTTTTCTGTAAAAAGCTTATCTCTAGTTATAGTTCTGTTACTCAAATTCTAAATTTTTAATTAAGAGTTAAGAGACGTTGACTAAATTCAAGTAAAGATGAATCTATCGTTGAAGTAACAGGATCGACAAAATTCAATAATTTTTATTTTTTTTAAGTATCTTATTTGATTCTAAAATATATTAAGTATATATAACTAAAAATAATAGCTTTAATATTTTGAATTGCTAGTGATGGGAGTTGAGTGTATTCTAAAAGCTGAAGGAGAGTTGAGAGACAGTAACCTTTTCTTGGAAATGAAAGAGAAAAAGGAGATGTGTCTATTCCTCTTATATTTTATAAACTATAATATTTAGTAGTATTTTCAAAAATTATTTAGACATAAAATTGTTTATAAGTTTAAAATTCAGAAAACTTCAAAAACTGTTTTAGTTGATAAATGACAAAATTTCTCGTATTGATGGTTAATGAGATTACGAAATTTTTATATGATTTACATAATTCTACTTCTTTAGAGCGTGAGTTTATTGTATGACTCATCTCATTCAATATCAATTTTCCGAAAATAAAATCGTTCATTCACTAAATGCGAGATAGGATGTTAAAAGAATGACAAATTTTTTATATCATTAATTAAGGAGATAGCAAAACTAGAATAACTTTTTTTTTTTGAATTATTTTTTATGATATGAGTTACTCAGAATCTAATCGTACGATTTTTAATCGCATAAACTTTTCAAGACTTATTTTAAATTTGAAATATTTAATTTCAGAATTGTTATGACTGACATGAGAAGTGATGAGTAGTTATTTTCTTGGTTCATTTCTCCTTGATATTGATAGTGTAGGTAGGTATGATGAGTAGCTAATTACTAGTAATAAATAGCCTACTATTTTCTTACTCTTTTTTTCTTCTTCTGACTATCTCTGCATGCCTTCCCTTTTATTCTAATCATGCAATAAGTTTACACACTATTTTTCTTCTTACAACATACTTTTTCTTCAAATACCACTCATTTCTAATATTCTTTTTCTTCCAATTAAAAGAAATGAATAACTAACTCTAAATTAAACTTCTTATTTTACATATTATTAGTATAACTTTCAATTACTCGCTCCATTTTAATTTTTCATATTGTATATTTAAGATTAGAGTAAAGAGTATTTTAATATACTTGATATAATTTTAATTTAAAATTAAAAAAATTAAAAATAAAATTAATTTACTTTATAAATTTTCGTGTCAAATCAAATAATATCGTTCAATGACGAAATAACAAAGAGTATTTTAATATACTTAATATAATTTTAATTTAAAATTAAAAAAAATAAAAATAAAATTAATTTACTTTATAAATTTTCGTGTCAAATCAAATAATATCGTTCAATGACGATATAATATTGTTATGGGCATATCACGTGAAGGAATATATCGTGCCATGAGGGGCTGTTTTGTACTTTCCATAACCTTCTTCTAAGTTAAAGGAATATGTTTCGTTTTAATTTACGTAATGTAGTTTGATTTGATCTAGAGTTTAATAAATGAATAATGTTGAATGGTCATAAAATTTGGTCAGAGGTTTGCTAAAAATCATAATATCGTTTATAAAATAAATTGATTTTTTAAAAATATTTTTAATTAAAAGATATTAAAGTTAAAAAAATGTTTAACAAGGTTAAATAACATAGCGTGAAATATGACCATTCTAGCCAAAAGGATTTTTCCTTAATAAAAATAGACTTTTTATTGAAATAGTGATTTAGAATAAATTATACATATTTGTGGAAGTTAGTACACAAATATGTCTTTTAACTTAGCCTCATTCTACATTTATGTCCTTTAATTTTAGATATGCGCAAATTCACTTAATTTCTACGTTATCTATACCAGCTTTGTTATAAGTGACAAGTGTCGATTAATTAGTATATTCTGTCTTTCTATATTTACTTGTTCACTATATTGAAAACCTATGTTCGATTAGATAATAAAAAGACAATTTATCATTTTATGCCTATTCGACGTTCATTTTTAAGTAGTATTACTTCTCAATATTTGATAATATAACCAATATTTTTTGTTTATTGCTTATTAGGTATGTTTAATTCACTATGTTTTAGTTTATGTATGAAATGAAACAAAAAAATAAGGTAAGGAGAAGCCATGAAAAATAAGAAATTACTTTTCATTATGTTTTAACTTATGTATCGTACGTACTTATTAAAATTATTGTAACATCAAAAATTTAAGATTATCTTGAATTTGATTATATTAAGTATTATGAATAAAAATTTAAAAACATTATCTTAAATATGATTATATTAAGTATTATTTCACAACGTAATAAATATTTTGTAAGGTTTGTTCAACATGGAGAGCTGTGTCCCGGTCCGATCTGCTATGGCAAAATTTAAGCAACCGTATATGGAACCGCGATCGTCTTCTCCATCCGACGTGGCATGACGAATACGTATATTGGCACCGTACGTCTAATAATTTCCGTCAATGTAGATACGTATACCGTACCCTCCATTTTGTACGAGCAAACAACGACGATGATAACAATGACGGTCTCTCTTGTCGTCGTATCGCGTTATCCGATCGCCATTTAGCTGCCGGATTTTCCGATGGATCGGTCCAATTGTTTCATCTAATATCTAGGGCTCATCTGTCTACTTATTATCCGCAACAACGTGACCGGCTCGGCCGGTATTCTAGGGCTATTTCGGGAATTATTTTATCGGATGAGAAACTTGTGTTTGCATCATTGGATGGTGATATACATGTGGTGGTGCTCGGCGAGGCGGATCAGTATCCGCCCCGTCGTGCACGTTTAGGTGACGTGGTGAATGACGGCGCTTTGGTGGATTTCACCGGCCGTGGTCGGTGGTGGATTGGCCTCTATGCAGGTGCGTGCGTCATTATCTTACTTTTTCAATCGTACTTTTAGTTTGACATAAAATTTAATCTTAAAAAAATACAAATATATTTTGAAATAGACTAATAACAAAAAAATGTCATTCGACGTACTCAATAATGCTAAATATTCATTTTTTTGTATGTATTTAATTTAGAAAAGTAATAAAATATTTAAAATGGAGTCGTTAGAGATAAACAGGTCAAATATATTGACCAACTAATTAATTATGAAAGAATGTCTGTTATTATGATGTTAAAAGTGTAACATAATAATTTGCTTTCGAGAAGATTTCTTAAAGAAGGCTTAATTCTTCCTTGACCAATGTTCTTTTTTTTCTTCTTTTTTGGGAAAAAACAAACAACAAAACTATTTTAGTTTTTTACTACTCCTTTCGAGCATGAAGTTTAAGGAAGAAAAAAAATGTATTTGATGCCTTGCAGACTAAAATAGGTGATCTATATTTGTACGACTATGAATTTATTAGGAATAAAATAAGTATTTTAAAATTAAATTATCACTAAATATAAAAATATATCATTTATTTTAAGATTGACTAAAAGAAGAGTGAATCGTATAAATTGGAACGAAGTATAATATATTGTACGCCTTGAATAAAAAAGGTCCCAATAAAAATGATAAATTATCTTCAATTTTGAAAGAACAGGTGAAAATAGATGCGTAATGAACAACTAAAAATGGGTGGAGTAGTAGTTTTTAGAATAAAATAACTTCTATTTATAGGAGATTTGCCTTTGTGCTCTTAGAAAATAAGTTTTCTCAAATCGACATTTAAAATATTGGAAAAGAGGTATAATAATTAAATTAAAAAATATTTTCTATGTAGGTGTCACGTAAGAGTCACGTAAGATAACATAAGGGGTTATGCGGAAATTTAATATTTCAAAGGGTAAAATGTAAATATAAACTCAATGTTAAATAATAAGGAGCAAATATATATAACCAAAAACTATAAAAAAAAGGATGGATATAACTATTTTCTAACCCTTTTACCATCTATCAAAGCAAAACTTTGAAGTTTATGAACTTTTTGCAATGTAATTTAGTGAGTGTCTAACGTTAAATTAGTTGGGCTGAATTACTGTAAAGAATAATTACACCTATTAATTTCTCATCATTACTCTACCATGATGATAATTGCTCATAAATTACGATAATTTGTAGCGTGATCCAATTTTTATTATGTTACTAAATTAAAATGTCTCCTTTTCTTTGGACAATATTTTCAGGTGTACCGGGTCGGGCATTTCACGTATGGAATAGTGAAACGGAGCAACTAATCTTCGCCGACGGCGATTTAACCGATCCCGAGGCATTAACCGGTTGGCACCTCCTAACCGAGTTAATGGACCTTGTGGGCCGGGTCCGTGTCACAGCTCGTGACACTGCTGTGGCATGTACCGGCCCACAACTCGTTGTTATAGACTTACATAACCAAGGGTTGATCCTCCGAGAAAGATCCTTCCAACATGAGCTCATTGTAGGATCTTTCGACGCCACGAGCGACTCGCTCGTGGCGGTGGACGGACGGGGTGTAGCCACAGTCCGTCGGACTGAGGATTTGGATGAGTCGTGTAGGTTTAATGTGCGAGGCGCGTCGCAACGAGGGGTGGTTGGAAGCATGAATAGTAGTGGATATGGTGTAATGTGTGTGGGAGAAGTTATTAGGGTTTGGGAAGTAGAAAATGGAGTGTATCTTTATAGTTTAAGGGAAAGAATAGGGGAAGTTAATGCCATGCATGCAAATGAAAGGCATATAGTAGCTTGTTCTAGTGATGGTACAATTCATTTATGGGATTTTGGGGCTTAATAATTAATTAATATGGGGATTAATTATTATTAATTAGGACATTGGAGTTCCCTAATTGGTATAAAATTTAACAAGGATAATTAGGGTTTAATTAAGGTCTTGTCTTTTTATGTAGGAAATTAAACAATGATTTGGAGCTCAAAATGAATTGTTTCTTCTTTGTTTTTGGCAATTTATGTCATCTTAATGGTTTAGCTTTTCAAAATTATTATACTACAATGTTTCATTGTATTCCAAAGAAAAATGCATTATGCATGTTATGGTATGTTATTAAAACTATACATTTCAAAAGTTTTATAGACGTACTGATGAATATTTTGACATATTTAAGATCAATGATTTCAATTTTTTTTCCCTTTTAAGTAAAAATCTATGAAAACAAAGTGAAACGTAGTGTAGTATATATATGTTAATATATGTTGAATGTCAATTAAAATGATAATTATAATTTATACCCATGCAACAATCAACATATACAACCCAAATAAGAGTTAAATGTGTGCATTTGCGATATGTAACTATCTTATGCAATACCAATTAGGAGCATGTTTGGATGAGGTAATAATTTTTTATTCAATAGCCATATTTCTAAATTTTGATTTATTTGTCTTTTTGGCTTAAAAGCGCTTTTTTATTTTTCTCAAACACCACAAACAGCCTATAAACTTCTTGATCTGCTAAAAAATAAAATGATGAAAACATAAAAACGACTAGGATAAAACAATAACATAGTCATTATAATCTCACAAGTTGGGCTTGAAGAGGGCAGGATAAATGCACGCCTCATTTCAGCCTACCTTTATGAGGTAGAGAGGTGGTTTCCATAAACCCTCGACTCAAAAGAAGTATGATAGAAAAAAAAAAAAAAAAGACAATGACAACAGAGAGGTGGTTTCCATAAACCATCAACTCAGGATGTAACATAACATTTAACATGAAACATGAGTGTATTCTTAAACAAAATAGACAAGCTATACAATAATTGCTAACAACAGTTCCAAGTTGTCCATAATTTCAGCATTCTTGATGAGCTGATCAATTCCTATAAACTAAATGAACTCCTCAAGAAGATCTCACATACAATCAATCATCACCAGATAAATCTCCCCAACGAACGTTGTGCTTTGCAGCTAGATAATGTGCTCCCACTGGCCCCCTACTTCCGTATGGATAAAGCTCTGGTGCGATCTTCTTCTCTTCCAGCTCCTTTAACAACGGCGTAAATAGAGCCCATGCAGCATCAAGTTCATCGCTTCTTATGAACAATCTTCGCTCTCCTTCTATTGCATCTAACAAAAGCCGCTCATATGCATCTGGTATTTCACCTCGATACCTTTACATAATGAGCCATTGAAGTCAATGTAAATATAGTGTTCATCTTGATCATGTAATCTTAAATCAATCACACAGATAAGTCATCCATCATATATAACGTTAGCAAGTGAGGTAGATTAAAGTCTTATACCCGCAATTCTTCTATAAACCGATAACGTCCACTGTCCACACTTTCTAATTTAAGCAAGTGTCAGCTTCATAGTTCAAACAAATCTCATTGAAGAACGGCAAGAAATCTGTTATTAATTACATTCCTAGCTCTATATCAGATAATGCGGTGAAAATTAAATTCCAGGTGCTACACCATATGTATGTGTCATCCATACTGAAAGCATCCTGATCATAGAACAAACAAGGGGCAATGGTGAACTACAAGAAAATTTTTGCTGTCATTGGGTGTATTCGGTACGAAGGAAAACGTTTTCTTGGGGAAAAAAGTTGGTTTCTGACTTATTTTCTACGGCTCAGTTTAGTACGCAAGAAAATACTATACCGAAAACATTTTATATAAAATCTAGCAAAACAGGGGTGGGAAGTGGGGTTCGGGAGTGGCGCATGGTGGGATGATCAAGGGGTGGGAGTTAGGATCTTGGGGAGTAGACAATGAACTAGGAATATCATTTATGGAACATGTTTTCTCTACTTCTATTAGGGAAGTCATTTTCCTTATTTTTAAGGAACTTGTTTTCCTATAGAAAATGTTTAGAAACCGAACATGAAAAAATCCATACAGAACACACCAATAAGCTGTTACTAACTCTAGATCAGCACGAGTCTCTTACTTTGCTTTGTAAAGAAGATTAAGGTCACTCCGGTCAAGTCTCATTCCAAGACCAGGAACCTTGTTGTTAATTTTCAGATATATGGCTTCATCGGGTTGTAGACGCAGAACTAGCTCATTGGTTGCCTTATCCATATCAGCTCCAAAGTTCCTTTTGTACAAATTTCCGGGGACATGTCTGAACTGGACCCTGATCTCTGCCCTGCAGTTCCAGTAAAACAAAATCTCCAATAATTTTGTGGTTATCAGGATATATACCTGAAAATATATCACTATGGAGGAAATAACAATCTAGCGACCTCTTTGTATGGAGAGCTTTTCCTGCTTTCATGAGGAAAGGAACCCCGTCCCAACGTGCATTATCAATAAAGAGTGCAGCAGCAGAAAATGTTGGAGTGATACTGCCATTTGGCACAGTTGGATCATCTGTGTAAGCTGGGTATGATTTAGCACCCTTGCTATGACCCTTATACTGTCCAAGAACAATATCTTCAAGTTGCAATGGCCTCATTGACCTTAAAACTTTAACCTGAATCACATGGACCATGTTTTAGTATATTTCCTCTAGTTTTAATCATATTCACTTGGATGATTTACGGAATGCAGGATTTACGAGAATAATTTGTGGCATAAATGTGCATACCTTTTCATTTCTGATGTCCTCAGCATCCAAGCTGACAGGTGTTTCCATAGCAAACAATGCTAGTATTTGAAGGAGATGATTTTGCATAATATCACGGATGATCCCGTAGTGGTCAAAGTATCTGAGAAGAAAGAGCAGAAAGATTGAGATCCAACTACAACAGAATACTACTTTTTAAGTATCAGCGGCAGAGTAATGAGCCTCACCCTCCTCGTCCCTCGGTACCAAAATCTTCAGAAAATATAAATTGGACATTGCGGATGTAGTTTCTGGACCAAAGAGGCTCAAAGACAAGATTCGAGAACCGAAGAACTGAGAGATTCTCAACAAGTTCTTTTCCCAAGTAATGGTCAATTCTGAGGAGAAAAAAAAAAACTAGCATAAGAAAACTTCAACCCATGTTATCTCCACAAGGTAACTGGCAAAGAAATGCAGTTAATCTAACCGAAAGATTTGCTCCTCAGTTAGGTACTTCTTTAGGCATCTGGTCAGCTCACTAGATGATTCTAAATCACGACCAAATGGTTTCTCAACAATGACCCTTGTCCACCCACTTGTTGAAGAAGCTTTAAGACTTGCACATCTCACCACATCCACGAATATATTTGGAGGTATTGATAAGTAAAACAACCTATTAGAAATCCTACAACCCTAGAATGTAATCATATGATCAGCACTCACAATCAGCTTTTTATCATTCATCAGTAACATAGCTTAGCATTGTTAAGTAAAGAGCAGTAAAATGTGGCATAAACTGCATCAAGCAGAGACTAACTTTTGCCACTCAAACCCCAAGAAACATTAAGTATACTATGTATACTTGGGGTTCTTTCTTTTGGTCTATCATTTCATCTAAATTGAGAGGCTAGGTAACTGTTCATAAAATTATAATTAGAAAAATACATTATCCTGCCAAACTTTTAAGATTTGCAGTCCATAATAAAGTATAAGTAACACATAACCAGCTCTCCGCTTCTCTAAGTATGCTTCAAGAGAAGTGCGTACATGTATGACATAATATGCAAAAGCTATGAACAACAAATACTTATTCTTATTTATCATCTAATATGCAAATGGAGTAACTTATACAAATAGTTGATTAGCATATTGAACAAAGAGAAGTTGTGGAAGTTCCCCTGTAACTCTCTTGTCACTGCTTTAGATGGAGATAGTAATAGGAGTCTCATTCTGGAAAATTCTGGATTCCTCAGCTTAAAAGTATTGTAGGGGTTGATCAAAGTAGGATCAATCAACCAAGGAAAGTAAGGTCTGAATTTTTTTATGTCGTACATATGTAGGTATATTATATACATATTTCCCTTTAGTTTTATTTTTAAATATTTCCCATAGTTCAGACCTTTATGAAGTTCGATAAAAAACTATCCTATTTTTCCTCCAAAATCAAATTTTGTATATGCATCAATGGAGCTTTCATTTGACCCATGTATTTTCAGTCTTCTGTAATCTCCTACTTAGTTGACTAGCATCAAACCATTAAGAATCCTTCATATAATCACCTTACATTGAGACACTATGTCATCATAAATCTTCTTCGGGCTTATGCCATAACATCATTGCAGAATGATATCTATGTCAACCTGACCATCTTTACCTGAAAGGCTACTTAACTAAAACTTCACGGCGCCAAGATAATCTCTTCGAATATCTTGCCAAAAATATTTTAAACATCAGAGAAACCACTAATGCACATCATGCCTATAATATGTTACATCTCTTATCTGAGATTTATGTACCTTACTCCTTGGAGCAACAGGAAGTTGCCTTCAAGGTTTGAGAAAAATATTAAACTAATAAAGATGATGGTTATTGATACAGCTAAGAAGATGACATCTAATTTACTGCTATAGTTTCTTTAGACATGCAAAAATGGACTGCAGACAGTGCACAAGCTTCCACATAAAGTTATCTCATTAGTACTTCCATATCTTTATCACCCCGAGTTATTGGAAGTTCATATGAGAAGTGTCACGTTTATGCTCATTCAGGTATATATGTTCCGGCAATGCTTAGTAATGGGCAGAAATAAGTACAGCACATGCATTACCTCCTTTTCCTTTAATTTGTAATCCAGTTCTGCAAAATCATCCTCAGAATTGTACTGACCGGAATGATAAAAACATCTTTCCAGAAAATGCTCCATTTTGGCATCACAATTCTCTCTGCAAACCCTCATTCACATGGATTCCATCAGCTTCATAAATCATAAACATGAAAATATTGCATGTTAAAAGTAATTTCACATAATGGTATACCTCTTATCAATTCGACAAGTTAAGGTTGTACTGATCATGTTTCTCAGCTCTTCATCACTCAATTTTGTTCGTGAGTAGCCAAAAACTACAAAATTCTGAAATGTACAAATAAAGACACATCATGAGCTACTGCTGAATCT